GCTCAGCAGTTTAGCGGCACCTTGAACCCAGGGCCTGATCCTGGAGACCCAGGATTGAGTCCCATGTCAGGCTCCCTGCATGGAGCCTGCTTCTCCCTCTGCCTGTGTCTCTGCCTCCCTCCCTCTCTCTCTCTGTGTGTCTCTCATGAATAAATAAATTTAAAAAATCTTTTTAAAAAAAGAATGATGCAATGGTTCACTTTTGAAATTTTAGAACTGAATAATATTCTAACACCAAATGGAAAGCAGTTTAAAATGACCACCAGCTGTCCACAGCTATTGGTAAAGTAGTGACCAAGTAACTTGACTTGTGTTGGAAATTAATACACAAACAGTATCTGAGGCAAGAATGGTCTGATATATTTTCTGTGTTCTGTTCCATTTCAGGAAAAAAGTTTCTATTTATCTCTGTGAAATGATGGCAACAGCTGATCAACATAAGGAGGAATTCATTAATTTATACACTATCCCTTTAGTACATAAACAGTTTGGAATATGTTGTCGGTCCCATGCATGATTTCATATTGGGAAGCCAAAGTAATGCCATTTCCTAACCACAACATTTTTTTTTTTTATCTCATAAGAAACGTTTCATGTGTACCAACAGAAGATTTTATGTGAAGGGTAATCTGATTATTTCTTAATTTAGACCAGCATTTATATTAGCCAATCTCCTCAAATCTCGGTCTTAGCCTTTCAATTCATAGAACTGTGGAGAAGAAAAAAGGAACCACACGCTTGGCCCCGGCTCAGTCACCTTGATCAGCATGGGAAAAAAGGTCTTTGTCATTTCATTTTTAAAGCTAACAAGTTGAGGGGAGCCTGGATGGCTCAGTCGGTTGAGCACGCTGACTCTTGTTTTGGGCTCAGGTCATGATCTCAGGGCTGTGGGACTAAACCCCACCTTGGGCCCCGTGCTCAGCAGGGAGTCTGCTTGGGTTTCTTTCAGTCTCCCTGCTCCTTCCCACCCCACCCTCTGCATGTTCTCTCTCTCAAATAAATAAATAAATAAATAAAATCTTAAAAAAGGAAAAGCTAACAAGTTGGAATTGAGACAAAGTGATCCAGATATTTATAACATCCTTACCATTCCTTTATGAATATCTTGGTTTAATCTTTTCACATGTTAACCCCTGAGGTAAATACCTTCTTCCTAAGGGGATAGGCTCTGCGCATTTTTAAACTGTCTGGCTTTGATCCCTAGCTCCAACACTCACTAGCTGTAGGACTCTTGGTATTATCTGCCGTATCTGTAAAACGGAAATAATAATACTATCTATTTTGCAGTTGTTGTGAAGATAATGGGTTAGTGTATATAAACATTAGATGCAAAATGTTAGCTGTTGTGTTGCTGATAATAATGATATTTGCAAGTTGAACTTGGGGACGCCTGGGTGATTCAGGGGTTGAGCATCTGCCTTAGGCTCAGGGCGTGATCCCAGGGTCCTGGGATCGAGTCCTGCATTGGGCTCCCTGCATGGAGCCTGCTTCTCCCTCTGCCTATGTCTCTGGCTCTCTCTCTGTGTCTCATGAATAGATAAATAAAATCTTAAAAAAAATATTATGGCTTGAAGGTTGAAGTTGATTTCATTATAGGGTGCTGAACATTTTACACTTTGATAGTTTTCACTTCCAAACATTAAAAGTCCTAGACTGGTGTTCTTGGAGGAAGCAGTAATTCTAACCTGTCCACACCTTGGGACAATGGCTGACTTGAATAGTTCCAGGTTTCCTAAATTCCCCACTCCTCTTCTTCCCTCACTCCTGGTGTGCTGGAAAAGACTGGTACCTCACTGGGTACACAGCTGTGAAATCTCCTCTTTACTGGGCCAGTGGTGTGGCCCACCTTTGAAGGACATAGAAAGCAGCTCTGTTATCCTGAGGAAGAAACAGACAGAGATAGAGTAGATTGCTAGTACTTTCTGGGAACAAGGAAGTCAGTTAGTTGGAATAGCTCATTAATAATCACATTGCTTACATTTTGAAGTGATAATATTTTGGATATTGGGTTAAATAAAATATATTGATTAATTTTTACCGTTTCTTTTTACTCTTTGTTATTTGGCTAATAGAACACTTAAAATTCCATATGTGGCTCAACTGTACTTCTATTGGACTGCCTATGTTCTGTTAGAGGAACAGAAGAATTTCTGAAGACCACCATAAGTCTTTGCCTTGTCTAACAGTTTCCCAGTTAGGATGTGTGGAAATGATTCCTGCCTTGTGTGGGAGATTGGTGTAGGTTATTTCTGACCACAATTTTAGTGTGGGCCAAGAAGACTAAAAGGACACAAGGGGAAAGTGCCCTCCAGGGCCAATGCAAGCATTCTGAAATAGCAGAATGTATGCACTAAACAGTAGCTATGACTTCAGAATCATCAAAGAAGCCTTCCATGAGATCACTGAAATCAAGTTACTACAGTATTTCATAAGGTTTAAGGTGCTATGTAAATGAAAGGTTCTAACAAGTATCAATAATTTATTAACAAATAAAATTAGTTACTGGTCCATGTAAACTTCCTTATTAAAAGACAATTTGATACTTCCCATTTAAGGTATGGTTCAAATATCTATTTGGGGCCTAGTGAGGTATCCATTCTTCATCTGGATAACATGCCATGTTAGCCCCAAGACAAGGATCAGCATGTCTGGCTTTCTGATTATGTTCACTCTAGGCTTTTCCCCTACTCTTTGAGAATAGAGTCAATGCCACTATCATAAAGTGTCCTCATAATCTTCATTGGGCATCCTCGAGCCATGAAGAGGCAATCTAAATAAAAACAGAGCTTCAAAGCAAACCTCCTACTCCCCTACTCCTTTTACCCAGACTTCTAGCTCTAAGCCCCTTCCATTTGGCAAATCTGGAGCTGCCCCTGGCTTAATAGTAAATAAAGGGAGAAAATAAATATAAATGTGTGTGTGTCTGTGTGTATGCACAGGGAGACTTGAAAATCAACATACAGCAATGATTGAGTTCTCATGATAAAAGGCAAATTTACTTGAAAACAGGGGAACCCATTGAAAATCACTGCCTTTATGTTTTATAATATATGTTTTGCAATGGGGTAGTCATGATCAAAGCATAGATCGTTTCCTCCTGCTCTCTTCCCCTAAAGGACTTAGGGATACTAATTCTTTTCACAAGCATGTGGTCCCCTCTGAGCCCATTCCCAAACTATTTAAGTGGCTTGGCGTGGGGGGTATTTTAAAATATATGCTCAAAAATCACAAGACTCTAGGAACTGACCTCCCAATTCTCACCAGGCCGAGACTGGCACTGCCCAACTCAGAAAGGGCTTATGGCCTCTACATTGGATTCTAGTCTGTTTAGTGGAACTGGAAATTCTTTCTCTCATAGATATGTGTTTTGTGTCTTAGTCCCGACCCAAAAAAACTGATTTAACATCTAACACGTCATCAAAAATTTCTACCAGTAAAACAAAAGGAATATGTAGAAGCCATGCCGATTTACACAGCCTTTCTGTTGCACAAACTCCCTGATTCAGGGTGGAATGGAAGAGGCAGGTTCCCATGGTGCTACCTCGTTTCATAAGGGGGGGGTCCTTTCATGTCACTTATCGATTCTGATCAGCTTCTGCCCTGGTGGAGAATGGGGTAGAAGGAGGATAGTGGCGACCAGGAAGAAGAGAATATAGCTATGAATCAGGAGGATGGGTATCCTTTCTCACCCCAGACGATGAGAGTATGAAGATAATCAAAAGCAGTGATGGAGGCGAGAAGTAAGATAAAGATAAAGTAAGGTAACAGGTCAGACCTGCTAATGGTGGGCACTATCTATCTCTTTCTTTTCTCCAAGACTGGCAGGAAGAAGTCACAGCCAACTGTTTACTCCCTGTAGGGTCAGTCTTGTTCTTTTAAAGAGTGGAAAGTGAGGCTACTCCAACTTCCAGTCCCCAGCTCCCCATAAGAGGCCAACACATGCTCAGACACCTCCCTGGCCCTGCCATCTATGTTATACTTGAGAAGGCTCAAACTCACAGTGTCATAGAACTAACTGCTAAGCTGCCCCCCGAACAGGATAGCAGTCATCCTCCAACTTGGGCTCCTGTCTTCAGTTTTCCAGGCTGCCCCCAGCCCTCCTGGGTCATGGCATATGCTGGATATCCTGACTTTCCCATCCCTGAGATGGACCAGCCATTCCTGTGTGTTGCTTTGTGCTCATGAAGTGCATGACTATACGCTGAAAAACACCTGTATATATTTCTGATAGTGATATGAAGAGGAGGTTTTGTGAGAAGGTACAAATGCCTCCTTGAGAGGGACTGCAAAAGCTGAGCAAGGAGTTTCTCCAAGCAACCCATCTTTTCCTTTAGTTATCATTAGGGACATAATATAATGTCCACATTTTCCCCCCTATGGTCACAAAGAGTTACGCTCATAATATGTAAATTGGGAAACTTATAAACTCTGTGTTTGTTGAACTTTTAGGACAAGGAATGAGTGCTCTGAACTTATCAACAGGGACCCTTCTCACCTGGGACCATTCTTCATGACAGCTGGAATGCTGCGTGTCGGGTACAAGGCAAAGCAAGGAGAACTTGGACCAGTGGGTGGGGACCACCTCGAGGGAACTGCAGCTCAGGGAAGTCAAGGTTGTAACTGATACACACACGCAGGTGGCAGGTGGAAGGGGCCGCCCCCTCAGGCACGAAGCGAGCTAGCAGAGGCAGACAGCGGCTTTTAACTGTAGGTTGAGGGTCTGGGCTGGCATAGGGGAGGGCTGAGGATCCCTTTGGGGGGGGGGAGCTGCTAGGGAATGGGAGAATCACTAGCACAGAGTCACCGAAGGCCAGCCGGGGTTAGGGGAGGAAAGAAGTGGCCTAAAGGTGGGAAGCCAGAGAAAGCGGTCTGGACCTCAACAATCAGAACCTATTTTTAAACGTTGCAAAAGTGGGGCGGTGGAAAGGGTGGGAGCGAGAGGGGAGAGAGTGAGAGGGCTGGCCAGAGCTCGGTTGTGGAAACGGAGTGGGCTGACTTACCGTGAACGGCAAGGAGCAGATCGCAAAGGTGATGGTCATAATAGCCAGGAGAATGAGGTGGTCCGTCTCCTCTGCCACGGACACCCTTTCCCCTCTCCTGCGGGTCCCAGAGCCGTCCCGGCAGCTGCCCAAGGAGGGTCCGCAGCGACTTCTCCCGCTCCGACGGTGCATGCGGATGAGGTTGAGGATGACGCTGAAGTTGCAGGCGAGCACCGCGACGATGAGAAGCAGCAGCAGGGTGGCGTACAGCTGCAGGTACGCGGTCCGGCCGTGCCGGATGAAGCACCACGTCCCGGGGCAGTACTGGACGTACTGCCCGTAGCCCAGCAGCGGCAGGGAGCAAAAGAGCAGAGAGACCGTGTAGATGGTGGGCAGCACGGCCAGGCCGCCTCGGCGCGTGACATGGCGCTGGTAGAAGTAGGGGCGCCCGATGGACAGGTAGCGCTCCAGGGCCATGGCGAAGAGCATGAGCATCGTGGCCAGGCTGAAGAAGGTCATGGCGAAGGCGAAGTAGGTGCACGCGCGCCTCTCAGGCTCCAGTGCCATCAGGGTCTGGTTCCGAGCGTAGGAAGCCAGCACCACGGGGCTGATGAGGCAGGTCCCGAGCAGGTCGGTGAACACCAGCTCTGTCACCAGCACGTGGAACAAGGAGATGGAGTTCCCGCGGCCCGCGCTGCGGCCCGCGTCCCCCCGCCAGCGGCGCGCCAGCAGCGCCAGCGCGATGAGGTTCCCCAGCACCCCGGCCGAGAACATCGCGGAGCTGATGGCCGGGCTCTCGCCGGAGGGGAGCCACTCCCGAGACTCGCAGTCATCCGACCCGGAGTTATTGGAGATACTGCCCATGGTGGGGGGCCAAGAGGAGAGACGCGCCCTCCTCTCCCGGCTCGTACCTGGGCGGAGGAGAGTCTGGCAGCTGGAGCGCTCGGGGAAGCCGCGGGGAAGGGGGAGGGACCCAAGTCCAGAGCCCCCTTCCGGCGCCCCGCGCGCCCAGGCCAGGCTCGGCCCCGGGGCTCGCGTTGCTCTCGGAGACGCCGCTAGGCTGCAGCATCCGGGCGGCGCTCCGAGCTCCTCTGCGGATCCGCGCGCCCACCGCAGCCAGGAGCCCACACCCGGGGCGGGGGGGGGGGGGGGACGGGGGGCAGCCGCCGCCCCTTCTGCACCCGCGCGGGGACGACCAACTCAGACGCGGTGTCCCGCCCGGCGCCCGCAGGACGCCCGAGAGGTGGAAGGCGCGTCACACCCGGTGCGGGGCACTTGCGAGTCCCTCAGCGGTGACCGCGAGGAGAGGGGCCCCGAACGCCTGCCCGGAGCGGCTCTGCGCGCGAGCGCGGTGGCCTGGGCATCCCCGCGCTCCGTTCCTCCGGGACTGCAGGCTGGAAGCGCGGGGGGCCGCTGGCCCGGGTGGGAAGCGTTCGGCCCCAGCAGGGGGCTGGGAGGGCGTGCAGGGCACTTGTGGGGGTTCGCAGAAGGCGACAGCGGAAACCCAAAGTGACTCACCAAACAACAGAGAATTTGGAAGGACCCAGTCCGGGGAGATGTGTGTAAGAAGGGCATAACAGGCACCAAAGACCGTTTGCAGTAGGACCCATATGCTCTTTTTCTTTTCTTTTCTTTTTTGTCATTCTCAGGAAGATAAACTAAGAGGGCGGGACCAAAATTAGGAGGAAGTGAAAAGTTCGCCTGGTTGTCCAAGGAACCAAACAGCGCGCACCGCTGAGCTGCCTGTTGCACTGTTGCTTTGATTCGGTTGCCAGCATTTCGCCTTTTCTGTCAACACCATAACGGATAACCACTTGTTTAAGCAAGCAAGCAAGCAAGCAAGCAAGAAAAGAAGAATAAGAGAAAGAAATGTTCCTTGTGTGTAGAATTGTTTGTGAACACAGCTTGCAATCATTGCACATTGTTCTCTAGTCAAGTACAGCCTTGAAAGAAAATGTTGTTCAGGATTAATTTTTTCACATGAACGGTGCAGAGCCCATCTAGAAAGACCCACTCCTGGTAAAGCTTATTAGTGAGTGGCCAGTTTTAGAAACCAGGGTTGACAAAAGTGGTCGTCTACCACCCATTGTCATAATTGCAGACTCACTAAAATGGGCTGGTGTTTAAAACAAACAAACAAAATCCAGTTTGGTAGACAAAGTGAGGTAATTATATTCTCTCATATTCAGTTGGGGAAGGGAGAAGAACTAGGAGGTGAAGGATCTGCATTGGGAACAGGCAAGGGGTAAGAGTCATCATGGGAGAACAAAGAAAAAAATTACCTGCTGAAGAACACATTTCACCACAGCCTGCTTGATCTCCATGAAAAGTTTAGCCCACCTTGATAATTCTGGCCTGGGGATTAGAAATGGAGATGGGACTCTCAACAGAGCAGGTTCAATGGAAGTCTCTTTTTCCCAAATAAGAAATCCATCAGTCACAGGCAGGTGAGCCTCCCAGGCCCCAGTCTCTTTCTGCTCTCCAGCCCTTCATTCCTAGCATGCTGGCTTTCTATCTACATGTTCTTCCCCATGTCGTCAGCAGTCGCTGCCTGTCTCAGGATTCAACCAAAGAAACAGAACCACTGGAAGTGATGGAGAATGAGAGATTTATTATTAGGCACTAGACCTGTGCTGTTCTATATGGTAACCTCTGGCCACAAGTGGCAATTTAAATTTAAATGAGTTAAAATTAACTAAGAGTAAAGATGTAGTTTCTCAGTTGCACTAGGTACATTTCCAGCGCTCAGTAGCCATATGCATGTGAGTAGCGGCTATGATATCAGACAGCTCGTATACAAAACACTTTTACCATCGCAGAAGCTCTGTTGGAGAGTGATGCATTAGACCCTACGGGATGGTGGGAGCTCCTGGAGAAGTCTACGCAAAGCTGTTTGCTGTGTTTGATTCCAGTGTTAATTGAACCAAGCCACCATAGGTCAGACAGAATGGCAGGGCAGAAAGCTGGATGTGGATAAAATCATGTACAGGCTTGGAACCTACAAGGGATAAACTGGAATTCATGAACAACTAGAATCTTCAACGACAGACTGGATTTCTGTGTGTCTCTCACCACCTCTTACCTCAATAATGCAGGTATACTGCGGGAGAAGCTGGCACCCTTCATAAAGTGGTGGCACCCTTCATGGAGAGGTGGATAAGTGACAATGTACTAGAGTTATCACCAGGCTGGGAGTCCTGCATTGTCCTTTGGAGCATGACAACCATGGCTGCTGCTTCACCGCTGCCTTCTCAATCTCATTCATCACTCCTCCTGTGACGAATGTTGACCTTGAAACCACGTAGGACTCTGAAGAACAGATCCTCCTCAGCTGAGTAGACACAGTGTAAAGCTACCACCCTGCCCCACAGGTCCAGGTATGAAGTCTGCATTGAAAGCAGAAGGTGAGAAACAGGCAGACTCTTGTGCTTGTTTCTTTCATCAGAAAAGCTGGTTTTCCAGAAGCACCCCAAAAGACTTCCCTTCATGCCCCATTAGGCAGAATTTGGTAAAATGGCCAGTCCTTAGCTCCAAAGGAGGCTGAGGAAGGGGATATTGAACATTTCCAGCTTCTTCCAGAGTAGAGGCAGGTGGGGGGATAGGGGCTGGGAGTGGCATTGGGTTAGCCAGTCAACATTGTCTGCTGCAGATCTACACAGTGGATTCCCCACTATCCCCTTCTTATAGCCAGAAAGGAAGTGCAAGAGCACCCACTCCGAGTCCTTCATTTGCATTTGAAGAAATCGAGGCACAGAAAAGTTGAGTATCTTACCAAAGATACACAAAGTTAGTGCAAAGCTAGGAATATGGAAGCCAGACCATCTCATTTCCATTACAGACCTCTGCATATTGCACACACTGTCCATTTAAAGCCAGAAAGGAGCACTTGGCACAATACCCATCTTTAATACCACATTAGAGCTCCCTGGCAAATCACTCAACACAATTTAGATGTTACTTTTTGCCTGAAGTATTGATAATGTTTGAAAAGATTACACATTTCCAGTATGACCAAAGAGAGAGAGAAATGGGCTCACTGTTGGTGGAAGTGTGAGTGTGGGTAAAACCTTCCTGGTGAGAAAAGTTTATTAAATATCACAAATGCTTCAGCCCAGAAATAATGTTATAGAAATGTACTGCCTCAAAGAGACATAATCTGACAAATACACAAAGTTGTCTCACACACACACACACACACACACACCAGGAGGAATTTTCATTATTGCAAGAATCTAGAATTAGATGTCCTTCCGTAGAGGATTGGTTTAATAAATTTTGGTACACCTAATGCAAGGGAATATATAGTCATTAAAAAGGATGATGTATTTCTTTCTTTTTTAAAGATTTTATTTATTCATGAGAGACAGAGAGAGAGAGAGAGGCAAAGACACAGGCAGAGGGAGAAGCAGGCTCCATGCAGGGACCCTGATGTGGAACTCGATCCCGGGACTCCAGGATCATGCCCTGGGCCGAAGGCAGGTGCCAAACCGCTGAGCCACCCAGGGATCCCTGTATCTGTATTTCTTGATAATGATCTTTACCACATATTGAGTTAAAAGCATGACATTATTTCATTCACATAAAGTTATATGCATAAACATTTGCAAAGAGCAGCATCTAGAAGGATGTTCAGCAAAATGTTAGTAGTAATTTCTCTGGGTAGTAATTTCTCCGTTAGGGCTATCTGCTTTGGCTAATTTTTCTATAAATGTGTATTACTTTTAGGAAATTCGAGGAAGCTGCTTTTTATTTATAAAAAATTAATCATTGGAGGAAATTGTGTTTTCTACTTGGCAGAAAACAGAGGGTTGTTTGAGACTGAAGAAGATTGGAGATATATCTTTGTATTTTTCATAACAGTTTTGTAACTGTCTTTGAAGATTGGAAATTACATATTTTATACCACTTCTAATGAGATGATGCCTTGCCCTCCTAAAATCAAAGGGCTTTGGCATCCCATAACCCAATTCTGATACTATCATTGCCAGGAAGTCCCTTTCCCATAAAGGTGGAAACAAAAAGTCAAACAAAGAGTTTAAAAAAAAAAAAACCAACCAACAACAACTGCAAAATGCAGTCAATAAAAGACAACTTTGAGATAGGTTCAAAAAACTAAGGGTAATTGTGAGTGGGTAGGTATAGAATCTTAGCAGAGAAATAGAAACTATAAAAAAGAACTGAATGGAAATTCTAGAACTACAATTTACAGCAGCTTGGAGTTGGCAGAAGAGTGAACTCAAGGACTAATCACATCTGGTCACCTTTCTTTCCATGTCATCATTACTTTTGTGCTAATTGGAAATATTCTCACTTTTCCCATATCATGTGAGGCTTGCCCTATTTTTACCCATGATGTGAGGCATGGGTTTTCTATGCTCTCAGAGCCTTCAAACCTCTTTGAGATCTGGAGTGCAGAGCTACATTGTCTAGGAAACTCCTGTGCTAACATTTAAACTTTTTTTCTCTTGAACTTCACCTTCCCTCCTTCACAGCCTGTGGACACAGGTAGGGAAGGAGTGGGACAACGTTGCTCTTCCCCATTTCCTGTGACCTAGGTCTCCTTTATGCCTAGTCTTTCAAAAGTCTGATACCAAACATTGACACCTGTATTCTGTTACATTGTCCTTTCCCTGAGACATTCAGTATAGCACACCCCAGCTGCTGATAACACTAGGGAAAGGGCTGGACTAGCAAGTACTGGGGAAAAAAATAGGTTAATATGTCAAATTTTAACATTTACATTCACACAGGTGTGTGTATATCCAAGGCTTGGTGGGACTTACTACAACCTCATAGGACTGTTTGAGAAACAATTTGATAAAGTCTTTGCAAAACCTGAGTCAACAAAAAGTGCTTTACAAATAAATGTAGGAGTACAATAGTTCTCTTGTCCTTAGACGGGAAATATCAACTGCTTATTAGTATGAGGAGTTAGATCAAATGAGTTATTCCAATAATGTCAAGAAGGCAAATTGCCTATGATTCTAATTTCCTTTTTAAGATTGATAGGGAACAAAGAATCCGAGATAGTCATGAAAATT